ATAATAATAATAATAATAATAATAATAATAATAATAATAATAATAATAATAATAATAATAATAATAATAATAATACACTCTTAGGAATTACAAATTCATATATCATCTTGTCCCATTATAACCAAATAAATTAAAAGATTCCAATGACGTTACATCCTCCGCAAACTCTATTTTGGCTTTCAAAACGCCAAAATGGTAAAAAAATCGAGTTATTTATAAAATACATCAGTGCTGTATGTTAATTTTCTAATGAATTTTATTTATGAGACAAACTGTAGATAGAGAAAAGTCTCAAACTATATATAAAATATTTGTTCATTACAGTTAAATTGTTTCCTGTCAATATAAATCGCGATTTGTACTTTCTATCTATAATTCAACTTCATCAGTAAAGAATAAGCTTGAAAATTACTATAAAGAATATCAATCATCTTCATCACAGGCATGCTCTAAAATTCGAATCAGTATTAACTAATTAAAGATGATTCATCCGTTTCATAACGGTTCACAAAGAAGACTTTGTTTCATTTATATGGGTAAATAATCGTTATAGCATCTTTAAAATAATAAAAAAAGAAATCTACGAGTTTATCATAATAAAAAATTATGAATAGCATTGATGTACACATGTACAAGTGTACATTAATCCTATTGTAATTAAAATTTTATTATATGTATAATTATGTTTAAAAAGTTTTTTAATTTCTATTATTATACAAACAATGTTCTTTACAATAACAGAATCTTTTTTAGAGAGCTACATGATTCATATAGTACTCTGTTTCTTGAAAATTAGTTGAAATTCTTTGAAAATCGACTTCTGTACTATCGGTAAAATGTTCATAAAAATGTATAATAGGAAATTCCAGATACATCAGATTTTGATTTAGTTCATGTAGCATAGTTTCCGGCAAATTATATGTATATGCAAAAAGTTCTGCAAATTGATCAGTATAACTTAAATCAATATATGAAATTATAGAGTTTTCTTGAGGATTAATTAGCGTCATAGGTAGCTCTTGCAATAAATTTGCTGTATTAAGTTCTGTTGTTTTGTCCAGGGATGATTTTTTCTTTTTATTTATTTTTCGTTGCATATCGGAAGGCTTAATAATACGCCATTTCTTCTTCGAATCCTTATAAGAGGGCACAAAAGCATGCTTTTCAGAAGTTTCGCGGAGTTCTTCAGCAATTATTTTATATTCTTGCTTAACCGGATCAGCGAGGGTCTTCCAGTTTTTCGATGCGTGTCGAGATATTTCGCTTGCGCTAAGGCGAAATCCATGATATATTGAAATCACTTTAAATGCTTTTCGGTACAATATAAAACTATTTGGCGTCTTCTTTGAAGGGTTATTCAATTTGTTTTTTAACACGCTGACAAGATATTCATCCAGTGGATATGGCACATCAATTTTATCAAGATCCATCGAATTGAAACTTTCATTTCGAATATAATATGGCATGAGAGAGCTAAAATTTGTGTTTTGAACTTTAGGCATTTTATTTCTTAATGTTAATTTAGCTTTGATATTTTTTTTTGAAAAGTTGGTTTGTTCTATGTAGCTATTTTATTTATATGTTTTTAAGCTTAATAAATTTAGACTATACATGTATTTTTATTCGTCCTACTTTATTTCTATTAATTTTTATTTTTTATTGAGTTTTTTATTCGAGAACATATTGCATGATTTCGGGGAAAGTTTTTTAATCTAATTTAATTATAATAAACTTAATTTGTAAATTTAAAATTTTCTAGAATCAGACAAAGGAGCTCGAGATACATGTATCTGCAGTTTTTAGTTCATTAACAAACTATACTTTGTTTATCGTTTAAAGTATGCAGTATTCATTCATGCATGTTGTCTTCGGCGATATCAAATTTTATTATTGAGATGATGTTATTGTGCCACATCAGGCTTGTGTAATACGCCACAATGGTTTCGATGACCTCAAATATCGAATTTCTGTGCTTCTGTTCGTTATCATTATTTTTAAAGAAAAAATAACATTATTAATTGTTGTTCTAATAGGAAAATAAATCTTTCTTTCTCGTATTCTTCAAATATTCACTAAGATATCTAAAAATAATAAATTATTCCAATTTTTAAACACGATAAATTCTAATTTTATTGGATCGCTTTTCACAGACAATCTATCTTATAATTGTTCAGTAGATAACGATAATTGAAATTAAAAACAAGTGCGTATCATAGATCATACCTGGATTCGAGCAGAGGTTATTCGAATATACATGTATTTAACAGCACATGTACCTGTGGCTGTGTTCACTAATTCCTGGTAAAATCAGCCAGTCAAGCCATCACATAATTATGCGCACATATAATGTAGCATATTTTTGCACCGTTATTTTATGTTGGTCTTCTTAATGTTTGATTTTCATATCGATCTAGTCTCTCTAAGCACACACTAAAATTATATAAATGTCAATAAAAATGCTTTTTTTCAATTTGGATGTCTCAAAAAAGAACCCGGGCACTTTAAGACAATATTCTTGGTGTTCAGTGATTCCGATTCTCGCAAAAATCCCATAATTCGATTTGTTTCGACTAAATAAATTGAACGATGGGATTTTCGGTCACTATATCATGCACTAAAGTGTTTTTAGGATGATCGATCAGATGCAATTCTCGGCTCGATTCGATCAAAAATACTACCATTTGATTCCTTAGTCGAGACGAATCAAATGCGTGTAGATCAGATTATTGAACATTGTCTTAAATTGGCACAAATTTTGTGTTTATAAAGAGGTTGATATCAGTATATATAAATTATCAAATCTAGCTCAGATACATATATAGAATCCTATTAATTAAAAGAGCACATTTTTTGTTTGCCAAGTATCATTAGTCATGTTTGAATGTGTTTTCAAATCCAATGTACCAGATTTCTTTTTTGAACATCAAAAACTGATAAATTTAATTAAATAATGATATCTTATATTTTTATATAATATATCTCTATATATTCACATTTCCATATAATTATATGCTTATATAAAAATTAATACAGTGCATCCAATCTTATAGACATCAAAAAAGTAAGCAGTTTTTAAACGCATGTCAAAGTCAATTATATTGAAAATGAGTACTTATGTATATAGTAATTAACTTTATTAATAATCACTAATTTCACTAAGAATTAATGATGTTGAGAATGATATTATTTAACAAAATTTATCGTTATTACTTTTCCTTTTAATCCATGTTTGATTTCTAATTGTTGCAAGGCATACCGAATTTAAAGCTTATGATCGTGCATAAACTTTATGCCATTCAAAACTATTAATAAAATTGAGTTCTGGTGATTTTTATGTCTTTAGTCTGGATGACATCATTTTAGTGTGTGGATATGATATTACATGTACATGTATCACAAAAAAATTAAGAAAAATGCTACATTGCCGTTACGTGATCGATTGTGGCGATTTTGTCGACCGGTAGTACAGCTGCCAGGAATTGGGACTGTTATTATCATTCGAAGATTTATTTATTCAAATAGATTCGAATAACCTTTATTCGAATCCATGATCCATCTACCTGCTTTGTATTTTAATTATAAATATTATCCGTGAAAAGCGATCCAATAAAATTTAGAATTATAAAAAATTTATCGTGCTCTAAAAATTGGGAATAAATCATTATTTTTAGATATTTTGGTGAAAAATTGCAGAATATAAACAAAGAGAGATTTATTTTCCTTTTAGAACACCAATTAAAAAACGTTATTTTGTCGATAATGATAACGAATAATGTGGCTTTTGAAACAATTGTGGAGTGAATATCGTGGCAAACGACATGAAACAGATTTGTGACGTATTACACAATGTGTGGCGTATTACACAATGTACATGCACTCTTATTCCGTTAGATCTTGAGTGTTGCACAATACATGTAACAAATTTGATATCGCCGCCGATGACAATATGCATGTATGCGGCGTATTTCTAAACGATGAACAAAGAACTGCTTAGTCAATAAACATGGTGAGTTCCTTTCTGTCTGATCTCTAATAAAGTTTTAAACTTACATTTTAAGTTTATTATAACTTTAAAAAAAATTAGATTAACTAAATTCGTGTGTTTCCCCGAATGAAAAAAGAAATCGCAATAGGAAAAAATTAATAGAAAATAAAGTAGGACGAATAAAAATATATGTGTAGTCAAAATTTATTAAGTTTAAACATATAAACATATAAAAAAAATTCCTATAAAAATAGCTGCTTGAGAACAATCCACCTTTTCAAAAAAAGATATCATAAGCTAAATTGACATTTAAAAATAAAATTCCTATAAAAATAGCTACTTGAGAACATTCACCTTTTCAAAAAAAAGATATCATAAGCTAAAATTGACATTTAAAAATAAAATGCCTAAAGATTTTCAAACCAAAAATTTTAGCTCTTTCATGCCATATTTCATTCGAAACGAAGGCTTCAATTCGATAGATCTTGATAAAATTGACGTGCCATATCCACTGAATGGAAATCTTGTCAGCGTATTAAAAAACAATTTGAATGAACCTTCAAAGAATGCGCCAAATTGTTTTATATTGTACCGAAAAGCATTTAAGGATATTTTAATACATCATGGATTTCGTCTTAATGCAAGCGAAATATCTCGATTAGCATCAAAAAACTGGAAGGCCCTTGCTGATCCGGTTAAGCAAGAATATAAAAAATTTGCTAAAGAGCTCCGCGAAAATACTGAAAAACATGTTTCTGTGCCTTCTTTTAAGAATAAATGGCGTATTGTCAATTCTTCTGATATGAAACGAAAAATAAATAGAAAGAAAAAGTCATCCCAGGACAAAAGATCAGAACCTAATGTAGCAAACTTGAAAAAGCCACCTATAACGACAATTCATGCTCAAGAAAACTCTATATTTCCATATGCAGATTCAAGTCATATCGATCCAATTGGAGAACTTTTTACATATACATATGATTTGCCGGAGACTATGCAACATGTATTAAATCAAAATCCAATATATTCTGAACTACCTCTGACGACAATTAATGCTCAAGAAAATTCTATATTCCCATATGCACATTTAAGTCATATCGATTCGTTTGAAGAACTTTTTACATATACATATGATTTGCCGAAAACCATGCTATTAAATCAAAATCTAATGTATCCGGAACTTTCTATGATGCATTTTTATGAACATTTTACTGATGGCATAGAAACTGATTTTCAAAGTATTTCAACTAATTTTCAGGAAACAGAATCAGAATACTTTATGAATCACGTGTAACTTACATGTAATAAGAATTTAATTACAATATATTAGATACATTATATACGCATATCCATGTCATGTGCATAGGTTGATACATGAACATGCATAACTGTATTATTGGAAAACAACAATATAACTCGTAGATTTCTTTTTTTATTATTCTAAATATGTTATTTCTATTATATCGATTAATTTATCTGCAACAATGAAACAAATTCTTATTGTGAACCGTTATGAACGGACGAATCATGTCAAAGACAATATGATTAGCTAATAGAATTGGTTTACAACTCTTTATCCAATATCTTATTAATTTTGATTTGACAAATATTTTTGCGATTTTTAATTTAGTTAATACAGATTCGGATAAGCATCTCCATAATAAAGATGAACAATATATATGTACCCCATAGAATTTTTCTATGCTTATATATGAAGCTGAATTATAAGTAGACTACAAATCATAATTTTATGATATTTACAGTATTTTAGAATTAATTTAGCTGCAATTAAAGAATATGTTATGCCTGTTTGCACTAAAAAATTAAACTTAATGTAGCGAATATAACTAGCAGTAAGCCTAATCAAAAAATGAATTATTTTGGGAGATTATGGCTTTCCGCAGTTTCTCAAAAAGAAAAAGAATTAGACAGTGTATATATACGCATATGTGTTAATAGCTAGAAGTTCGAAACTTCTCTCTATGAGTAACATCCACGGTTTATCCTATAAGAAATTCATTAGAAAAATAGAAAAATTAACATATGATAATGATATAATTTTAGTTGGCATTTGTGGTAATCAAAAGTTGAGTTTGCGGCGGATGAGTCACTGGTTTTTTAATTTAGTAAGATTATAATGATTATAATGTGATTGCTTCTGAATTTTATTTAATAAATTCAAATCAAATAACTACATTAATTAATAAATTAATTAAATCTTATTATAAATATTACTCCGATACAAATATAATGAATTGTCCTTACATACAATTTATTTATCATGTTATCATCATTCACTAATCTCATCATCGTTTCCTTCATTGACAATATTTAACCATACCTTAATTAGTAATATTCTATTATGCATGCCAAGAAATAAATTTCACTATGAATGTATGTATACCGAAACGTAATGTGTATGGTGAAATAAGCTCTTATTACAGTATCTTTTTTGCCCATCGCAACGAAAAATCCTGTGATTAGGAATGATGCAAGACGATCTTACTACATTACTTGTATCCTTAATTAGTAATGTGTTACGAGAAAGAAAATTATCCCTATCGCTATTGTAGAATGTCCCAGTATCTGTAGAATTCTATGATTTATAACGTGAATTGTGTTTTTTGCATAATGATGATGCGATTTTATGATTTACATTATAAAAATGAGTTTTTACATGATTACATAATATTTAAAGCCATGGAATAAGTTCAAGTTATTTGATTAATATGATAATATTTTACATATTCAATTTGTACTAAAAAATTTTTTGTTTGAATTTAGATTTTTTATTTGCCTATATCATGCCATCCACTCTAATTTATTATTTATTGTTCCACAATGCGACATTTTCAGATTGATCGCAGTTTTTGCTGTTATACTACTTTAATAAGAAATCATCCATCTTTGCTCATATACATATTATATAAAATGGCTCCCATAGTTATGGAATCACTTCGGCGAAATTTTTAGACTCAGGTTTTTAATCAGTCAATAATGCAATAACGATAAATCGTTAAATTAAAGTATCTTTAAATTGTCATAAATGATTATTCAGATAAAATGTTCGATTAATTATATGATTTTTAAATAAACGCGATTTATTAAGCAATCCCGTGATTCTATAAATTTGGCATTTATAGATGATCAATTTTACGACATAATAAAACTCGAATAAAAAAATAAATACGAATAAGATATTCATATAACAAATTATCATCTTAGCATAAACATATTACTATTCTTTGCGACAAACTTTCAATTAATATATAGCATGTTTTAACCTCGATCTCCCCCAACCTGCTGCAAAAACTCCCATAATGCCTTTTTTCCTGGAAATTTTACCGAATTTGACTCTACTACATTCCACAAGTGGTTGATGGAATTAAGTTCTGGGAGATTGGGTGGGCCAATCAAGAATATTAATTTCATTTTCCACAAACCAGGCTTGAATTATTAATGCTTGTGTTTGAGATCATTATCATATTGAAATATGACTTTGGATTTCTCAAGATGATAGTTTCAATTGTTTTCAAAAAGTTCTTAGAAAGAATTTGCCTATAAAGATTTGCATCTTTGTCACCATTAAATTTGCAAAGATTTCCAATTCCATTTTAAGTGAAATATCCCTACATTATTATGTTTTTGCCACCAAATTTCATTGTTAACTTACAATGCATCCTTTAATATTTCTTCATTACAAAGCCACTCTTGATATAATGAAGTAGTCGGGTCCATATGTAAAAATTTCAAAACTTCATTATACATTATATTGAGCGGAATTATTATATAATTTATAATAAATTGTTCCTGGACTCAAGTTTATTATATCGCGATTTTAATTAGACTTCATTATATCAAAGGATCATTATATTATTACTTTGTATATCATCAACAATATTATTTGTCATCTGATACAAACAATTAAAATTTACTTACTTTTGACCAGATTACCTTTTTCCAGTCATCAATAAACCAATCTTAATATCTTTTGTAAAAGATAAGTATGATTTAAGAAAATAATAATTTTTTTCTTTTGATATATGCTTTTCATATTTGAAAAGTATATAATAAATTGCATTAATACTTATGTTGATATTATTTTTTATTCTTAAAAATTTTGCAAAATTCATAGCTTCATTAGCAATATAATAAAAAATACAGTTTTCTTGATTTTTAATAAGTGAATATGAAAATTATTGTCTTGATCTTAGTAAAAAAGTATTATTAATTATATATCTCTAGCAGATTTAATAATAATTAACTAGCTAACTTGCATTTTTTTTATTATTATCTGAATAAAATAATCTTTCTGAATTAGTATAAGAATTTTGATTTACTACTCAATTAGTATTACTTTTATTAATGCAAAAATATATATTAATATGGATTGATGTAAAAAGATTTATATCTTAGATAATTTTATACTTGTTATACAGATAATTATTATGCATTTAATATATTAGATTTAGCATATTGTCATAAAGATAATCACTATATATATCATAATTATTAATTTAGATTATTAATATTTACTTTATAATTTTATTTATTCTTCTAATTATTTATTTATATTATTATATATAATTATTTATCACATTATTATTTATTGAATTATGATTAGTTACTCTTCAAGATGCAAATTAAGTTAATTAATTCTGTTCAAGCTATATATATTTTAATTATAGATTATTATTAATTTATTTGTATTTCATATTTATTTCTTTTCTTATAAATATGATCTGTTTGTTCTATAAATTCTCTTCAAATCTGAATATTTTTAAATAATAAAAACAATTATAAGTTATAAAATTAAAATTATTCATATTATATTTTATCTTATTTATAATTATTAACAAAATAATCTTACAACTTGATAATAGCAGATATAATTATTATAAAGATTACTCTCTAATATCTTATACTTTACATATCATATATTACATACATATATTTTTGTTTTAGTAAATAATATCTTGTCAAAATAAACTCAGAATAATTTGTCTAATTTATACAGAGTATGACTAAATTAATTAAAACAATTAAAAAAGATAATCTTTCTAGTTCTAAACTCTTCTTTTATCTCTTAGTTAAAATACTAATATATTTAAAAGAGTCAACTGAAAATATAATTATTTGAATTATGTAAATTAAAACTATATTCCAGATTCAAGAAATTGAAGATAAGAAAACTCAGATATAGTATACTATTACCTTCTTGATAAATATAGTTTTATATTAGTATCTTAATAAAATAAAGATAAATAATAATATAATATTATATTTTTTGATAAATAACAAGATTTTGTTATAGTATTAAAAGAAGTCTTTTAGTCATCACATTATCAGCAATATCTTTACAAATAACTTTATATTCTTTATTAAGCTGAATCTGTATAAGACTATAATACCAAATTCAAAAATTCAGTTGGCCAAGTTACAAATATGAGTGACCTAAATTAAGTCACCTATTTCATAAAAGAATTAAAAATCTGTCATTAAAATGAAAGTCAGTTATCAGATACCTGAAATCTTAGAAGATGCTTGAAAGTTAGCCATTTATAATAATATAGCAATATATAAATAAAACAGATCTCTAGATCTATCAAGTAGATATAACAATAATAATTACTTACAGTACTAATATAGAAGTTATTAGAATAATAGTCCTATATCTATAAAATTAGATTAAACAGAAAGTTATTATAATAATAGAAAAAATAATAATAATTAGAAGAATAACAAGTTCAAAGATATCTGTTATAACTATAACAAATCAGATTAATTTGCAAAGAATTATTATTCTAAACTAAAAGTCAAGATTACAAATATAAAAGACAAGCAAGAAGAATCTTTATAGTTTTATAAGAGAGTTGAATTTGCTTATCTTGAGAATAATAGAGAAAGATTATTAAAATTTAATAGCCAAGTGAATGGCAAATTAGTATAGATTTTACTAAATAGTAGTATATTAAGAAACTTTATTAATAAGAAATTTGTATAGAAGAATAAAGTAAAGTCATAAAAGACAATATCAATAATTATAGAACTTATAGATAACAAAAAAATAACTATCATTATCATGACAAAAATTAATGAGTTAAAGCTAAATAATTACAGAATATATAAGATATATATACAAGTTTTAAAATTACAGAAATATAATTTTATCCTAGATAAATCTTGATTATTTCATGTTAATCCAATTATAAATTAGAGAAATGATATCATAATCTTTATCTATAGATCAAAGATAATCAAAATTCAAGCTGATAATGAAGTTAAGTCCAGTTT